CCCGCGCAAGCCTGTCGCCTCCTCCGCGCTCCCAGCCAGGGGGAGCGCCAGGGAAAGTTCCCCACGGCCCCGCTTCGCGCGGAGTTTGGAGACGTGTGCGCCGTGGCGCCGTCTGGTCGCGGGCTCCAGGAGCCACCGGATGCTGGGTGCCGTCCGCGAACGCGACCCGGGGCCCGGCCGACAGATCTGATGGCTCAGTGACTCAGGAGGCAGGTAGTAGGTGGTCGGCAGCGCGGTGTTGGTACGAGGTACCAGGGCGCGGCGCTAGGTACTGGGTACCGGGGTGCAGGGCGCTCTCGCCAGCCGCCCCGCACGGTTCCCGGCGGCCTCCCATGCGCCACGGAGCCCTCCCTGCGCCGCAGGCGGGAAATGTGGACTTCAGGAGCCTGCAAGGGCGCACGGTGCCAGGGCTCCGGCGGTGAGGGGACCTGGAGGATCCGGGAAGATCTTGTGCCTCCTTTGCGCGTCCCCGGGCTGGGCTGAGGCTTCGCGGCTGGAGGTTCCTCTATCCATTCCCCCCAGCTCTGGGAGGGCGTCCAGCCAGGCGACCGTTCCCCTCTGCAGGTGAAACTTTTGCCACCTCCACCCTTGTCCCTTCTGGTGACTCTGAAGCATGACCCTCGCAGCCGCTTCTTCCACTATGACTAGGGACTGCCTCCCCGACTGGAAAAGCCCTATCCCGCCTTGGCTTCTTGACAGTCCCACGGGGCAGGGCAGGCTGCCCCAGAGGGCTCTGGAAACGTGCTCCGCGGGGTGGGGGCGCAGGAGGGTGAGGGGCTCTGGCGCAGATGGAAGCGGCAGCTGTCGGGCCCATGGGAAAGGGCGCCCAGACTCCCCTCCCAGACCAGAGACTGGGCTGGATCTTGGGGGCAGGGGACCTGGGGGCCGCGTTTCCACATCCCTGGTCCTGTCCGGGTCCTCTTCCGCAGCAAGGGCCCAGAGATGCCACGAGTGGCGTGTTCCAGATGTATCAACACTGATGTGCGGAGAAAAAGCCTAGGGCCATTCTCGTCGCTGGATATGGGGGAGGGGAGCCATGCAGGGGTCTTGTCCTCTCTGTTTAATTTCCATGATTTAGGCCCTTTGTTTTCCTATGAGCATAACCTACATACAATAAGCTTGGATCTTAACTGTGCAACTGTGAGTTTTTACATGTGTCTACACCCGTGTGACCACCACCCAGACAAAGCATAGCATATTCTAATGCCCTCATTCCTGTGCCCCCTACCTGTTGACACTAGCCTCCACCCCCAGCCCGGACTCTGACCCTCACTGTCATACATGATTTTGCCTGTAATTCAGCTTATGTAAATGGAATCACACAGTCCACCCCTCAAGCCTGGTTTCTCCCACTCGACATGGCATATGGAAGCTTTGTCCCTGCTGCTGACCGTGGCTCTAGCTTCATGGGGATGTCACAGGTGGTTTCTCTGCTCTGCTGTTCATGGACCTTCGGGTTATTTCCAGCTCCTTGTTAGGAACAAGGCTGCTGTGAACATTCTTGCTCTTGTCTCTCTGTGGAAATTTTCAGTCCTTCATCTTGGGTGCAAGCCTAAGGGCAGAACTGCTGGGTGACCGCGTGTAGACACGTTCACCTTTACTAATAGCGCCAAGTGAGTTTCCAGAGTGGTGGCGCCAGCGACAAGAAGCAAGTGTTCCAGTTCCTCCACATCGGGCACATACTAACAAGCGTGTCTGCCTTTTCATTCTAGCTATCCTGGGGGGTGAAGGAATATCTCCGTGGGGTTTTGACTTACATTTCGCTAGTTTGGTGTTCATTGGGTATCCTTTTTAGAGAAGTCCCTGTTCAAGTTTTTGCCTCTTCCCCCCGCCCCTCCCCCGTCAAATGGGTTGTTTGTCGTTTCTTTATCAATCTATAGTTCTTTCATATATTTTCATTACTAGTTCTTTGCCTGATGATCTTCTCCTCGCCTGTGATTTATGATTTTTACTTTCTTAGTAAAGTTCTTAATTTTAATGAAGTCTGCTTGATCAGTCTTTTATTGCAAGTATTTTTGTTTTTATTTTATTTTTTTAGAAACAAGGTCTTGCTATGTTGCCCAGGCCGGAATGCAGTGACACAATCATAGCTTATTGCACCCTCAAATGCCTGGCCTCTAACAATCCTCCTACCCTGGCCTCCCAAAGCACTGAGACTACAGACGCATGCCACCTCACCCAGCCTTTTTTTTTTCTTTTTTAAGAAATATTTTCCCACTCAAGATCATGCTGGTATTCTCCTGTTTTCTTCTAGAAGCTTGATTGGTTGATTTACCTTTTGCATGCAGGTCTGCAATGTGTTTTGCATTTGTTTTGTGGTGATGTGAGGTAGGGGTCCCTGTATGATGAATGGTGCTCACAAAGCCCCTCCCCTTTTCCTCTAATGTTTTTCTATTTGGACTTTTAAAGTCAGCATCTATTACTTTTGCAACCTGAAGAAAACATATATATATATATATTGAGTTGGAGTCTCACTCTGTCGCCCAGACTGGAGTGCAGTGGCCATCCCCGGCCACCGCAGCCTCGACCTGCTGGGCTCTGGTGATCCTTCCACCTCAGCCTTCCAAGTAGCTGGAACTACAGGCGCGTGCTACCACGCCCAGCTAATTTTTGATTTATTGTTGAAATGAGGTCTCGCCAAGTTGCCCAGATGGGTCTCGAACCCGCGGGCTCAGGCAATCCACTCACCTCAGCCTTCCAAAGTGCGGGATTACAGGTTGAGCCACCAAGCCCAGCTGAAGAAAACATTTTTATAATTGTCTAAGTGAGATAAATGAGCGAAATGACTCTGGGGCAAGTGGGCCCCCTGCCTGTTCACAGATGAGAAAGTAAGGCCTGAGGAGGTGCACTGGGTGGGCGGGGCTGAGCTCGGGACTTCCAGTTCTGTCCACTATGGACTTCCGCCCTAGGGAACTGCCTTCCTGTGCTCCAGGTTTCAGAAAAACCCTTCAACTCCAGATGCCTTTGCATTGAGGTCTGAGACAGGGGTCTTGTGGGGGCATGCATGGAGGACAGTTTGTCTAGGTGGTTCTTGGGTTCTCCTGGATACCTGGTATCTTCCAGAGAGTCCCTGAGGTAGAGGAGGGCATTGAGGAGCCCCTATCCCTCTGCAACCTGGCCCACATGACCCTGTAGGAACTGTGACAAAGTGACCTCATTAGTGTGGATGGTGGTGACTGACTTGCATCTTCTCCCACAGGACAAGCTGGTTGCCCACAGATGCCCCCTCCCTGTCCCAGGGAGCAGCAACCCCAGTCCTGAGACCAGTGTGAGGGGACAGAGATGGCACTGAGCCCCGAGTCCACAAGCAGGTTCCCCGTGCTGGCCACCACAGGCAGCTCCACACCTCAGCCACCTGGCAGCCCCAACACATCTCTCAATGGCTCCTGGATCAGCCCAACGGAGCCCAGCTCCCTGGAGGACCTGGTGGCCACAGGCACCATTGGGGCGGTGCTGTCTGCCATGGGTGTGGTGGGTGTGGCAGGCAATGCCTACACGCTGGTGGTCACCTGTCGCTCCCTGCGAGTCGCAGCCTCCATGTACGTCTATGTGGTCAACCTGGCACTGGCCGACCTGCTCTACCTGCTCAGCATCCCATTCATTGTGGCCACGTACATCACCAAGGACTGGCGCTTCGGGGATGTGGGATGCCGTGTGCTCTTCAGCTTAGACTTCCTGACCATGCACGCCAGTATCTTCACACTCACAGTCATGAGCAGCGAGCGCTGTGCAGCTGTGCTGAGGCCACTGGACACAGTGCGGCGCTCCAAGGGCTACCGCAAGCTCCTGGTGCTGGGCACCTGGTTGCTGGCTCTGCTGCTGGCACTGCCCATGATGCTGGTCATCCAGCTGGTACGCAGGGGCCCCAAGAGCCTCTGCCTGCCTGCCTGGGGTCCACGCGCCCACCGCGCCTACCTGACACTGCTGTTCGGGACCAGCGTGGTGGGGCCTGGGCTGGTCATTGGGCTGCTGTACGCGCGCCTGGCCCGGGCCTACTGGCGCTCACAGCGGGCCTCCTTCCAGCACTCACGGCGGTTGCCCAACCCGCGTGTGCCGCGCCTCATTCTGGGCATTGTGCTGCTCTTCTGGGCCTGCTTCCTGCCCTTCTGGCTGTGGCAGCTGCTGGCCCAGTACCAAGAGGCCCTGCCACTGGCACCCCGGGCTGCCCGCGTTGTCAACTACCTGACCACCTGCCTCACCTACGGCAACAGCTGCCTCAACCCCTTCCTCTACACTCTGCTCACCAGGAACTACCGTGACTACCTGCGCAACCGCCCACGTGCCCAGGGCAGCGCTGGCCGGGGGCCCTCGGGCTTCCTATCTTACCGTGTCCGCTTCCAACGCAGTTCCGGCCGCTCCCTGTCCTCCTGCAGCCAGCAGGCCACTGAGTCCATTGTGCTGGCCCCTGCAGGCTCTTGCAGGCCTGTGCTTGAGGGGCCGCAGGTACCTTTGTGAGCCTGGAGAGGGGGCAGCTGGGACCCAGGCAGAGAGGGCTCCAAAGCTGGGTAAATCCCTGGAGCCCCTTCCCAGAGCTCCTTACTCTCAGCTGACAGGCCTGCCTATTGTATTCAGTCCTCTTCTGGAATGTTCTCTGCTCTTTTGCCCCTGCTGCTTACCTCGGTTCAGCACCTTTCCCATAAGAAGCACCCCTGTCTGTCCCCTTTGAGGCGCTCCAGGAGCCTCAGGCCCAGACCTAGCTTCTGAAGACCACGATGTATGGTCTTCTGAGGTGTCAGCACCTGGAGCAGCAGACACCAGCACCCAGCCCATATGTCCCTGACCCATAGTGGCAGCTGCTGCCTGCTGGGGTCTTCTGCCTGTTTGGCCAGTGGCCCTGTGGCACCTCCTCATCCCTTGCCTCCTGTGTGGCCCCATTCTTGTGTCCTTAGCACTTAGAACAATAAATCCTGAGCTCATAGTCAGTGTCCTGCCTCAGTGTTGGGAGTGGGACATTGGAGTGGTGGGAGAGGTCAGGCCCAGCAAGACCATTTGGGACAATATTCCCCCCATCTGCCCATTGGCTTGGCCAGGGAGTCATGTCTGCTTCAGGCCTGTGGCTGGTCCTGCTCTCCTGACATGGGGGTGTCCTCCTCATTTGGGGCAGGGCAAGAGGGCAGGCAGGCAGGACCCCCGAGGCTGCAGAAGAGGCTCAGGCAGTGTGAACTGAGTGGTGGTAGGAGGTGGGAGGGTGAGGGATGGCACAGAGGGAATCTGAGGCTTTGGGTGCAGAAAGCAAGAGGTCACGGCTGCTGGCCAGACCTGCCAGGGCCCCACCTGCCTCCACCCACGTGAGGCTCAGACCTGGTCAGTGGAGAAATCCCTTGGGGATCTCTGAGCCATCTACCCTCTCGCTGTCTCCCAGAGAGACTATTGCCCCTCTTTCCACTCTGCCCCATCCTCCCACCTCCTCAGCCTCCCACAGCTTCTTCCTGCATCCCACACCCCTAACCCCATCCAACCCCCTCCAGCCCCTAGCCTGGGCCTTGACTGCCTCTCCCAGCCTGGCTTCCCTGATGACATTCCCTGTCCACGCCACACGACCAGGCCTGGGAATGCTCATGCCTGAGTTGTCCTCCCCCATGTCTGGCAGCACCCACCCTCCTGTGGGCCCCTTGGGGTTCTGTCTGAACCCAGGTGGGGGCACATCTGCTCACTCATCAGTGGATGCCCATCAGAGACTGGGTACCAAGAACTAGAGTTGGCACTGGGGGTGGCTGGCAGGGCATGTGGCTTATAGGACTGTCAAGTGTCAGGGAGGATCATGTTCCCAGGGCCTCTCAGAAGAGGGACAATGCATGCATGTCTCCCCTGAAGAGACAAGATGCCCCGGAGCGAAATAGCGGGGGTTATGTAACATTGTGAACCCAGCAAGTGTCGTAAAACTGTACACATTAACAGTTGCCCGAGTTTTGTAATGAGTATTTCACCCTAAAAACAAAACAAAACAAAGCAAAAAGAAACAGCAATTTGCTGGCAAAATATGTTGGGGAATAGACAACTCAATGGGGAGTGGGGGGTGGGACATGTCCCAGTCTGAACAGGAGATCCCCTTCTGGGCTCCCATGCCTTCATGGCCTCTGATGCATGAGAAGAGATTCAGGGACTAGATATCCTTTTTTTCTCAACCAAAGTCTGATTTCTAAAGCATCTTTGTAGAGAAACAAAACTTTAAAAATCTGACAATAGGACTGGCCCCAAGCTTAGTGGCTGCAGCCATCCTGTCCTTGTCTGACTCTCAGACTCAGACCCAGTCCTGGGGCAGCTGGACTTGTGGAGCAATGCCACTGCCTAATCTCTTGACGTTGCCTACCTGCCTGCCTGTCCTGACAGCTTTTGTGCCACATACCTGTACATGGCATGGGGCTGAGGGTGGTGACCTGAAAGTGGCCAAATCACAGCTGCTGCTCACTGCTCCTGGTCCCCCACTTCTCTGGGTGGCCCCCACTTCTCAATAAAATCCCCACTTCTCAGGGAGACCCCCACTTATCCAGAGCCAAGATGCTGCAGAGAGGGAGTTTCTGGAGCAGCATGGTCTCATCCATGACCCCATGAATTCAAGTCATAGCATGACTGAAGGGTCAGGTCCCAGGAGGGGCCCTACAACCTCCCAGTCCAGAGAAGGCTACACACCTCAGCACCGCCCTTAACCCAACCCAGCACCTGTCCCCTGCTGTGTCCTCTCATCCCTCTAAAGGCGGGTTCTGGAGGAAGGGGCAGGCTGGCACCAGGGATGAGACTATGTGAGATGGTGTCTCATTCTCCAGCAGCTGAGGTCACTGGGGATGACCAACCATGTGGCTATAACCACATGGATTCTCCTCCTCTGCTGAGGGGCCTGGCAGCATCCAGGTGTCAGCATGGGGCTGACAGGAATGGAGCTCTCATGAAAGGCAGAGTAGGGCTGAGTGGTGGGAAGAAAAGTGTATGTACATGTGACTGCACATATGTATGCACACATGCAAGAGTCTGCACGCACATGGGGGCTGAGGGGAACATCCAAATAAAGGAGCAAATAAGGGGAGGATAATTCAGGGACAGGAGATAAGTTAAAATGGATCTGTGCAGCATCCTCTCAGAAACTGTAGCAACAGCCTTGCTTGTGGAGCGATGAGAAGAGTGTGAACCGCAAGCAGGAGGGGCAGGAAGGAGTGTGGAGGGTTTAAGAAGTGGTTCTGATCATGCTTGGTAGAAGGATAAAATAGAACACTGCAATCCCTCCTGGGGAAGTATCTGGTGCAGAGAGAGGGAGTCCCACAGCCTGGAACCTCCAGGGACACCCACTCTCCACTTTAAAACTTTTTATTAAAGTGCAAGGAAGATGCAGAGGTGCATACAGCACACTGCACCATGGGGTGTGGCCAGAGGACATTCTCTGGGGAGCTTGGTCACCTGGCCCAGAGGCATACAGTAGGCATCACTGTGCTGGGGCAACAGTAGGCATCACTGTGCTGCCCCCCAGCCCACAAGTCCCCATGCTCATCACCACATTGGTAAGCCACTGTGTCCCATGCCTACATGTTCCCTACCAGGTGTCCCCTCTCCTGTGGGCACCTCTAGGCAACACCATCGATGACCAGCAGCTCTATAAGCAGCAGCTCCATACCTTGTCCCCCCCCACCTCCAAACAGAAGTACCCAGGCACATACATGTTCCTCACAACCTCCATGGTCACATACATATACACACACCCACACACACACACTCACAACTATGTGGAGACTCCTCGGCTCAGCTGCCTCCCTGGAGCATACACCCTTCCCCACTCCCGGCACCCAGAGCCTCCCACCAGGGTGGCCGCGGGCACCATCAGAGCCACACAGGCAAACTGTGGAGACTTTTTCTGTCTCAGGAACCACGTCCCCAGCCCATCTCACTTGGTCCTCTGGCCCTGCCTACACCAGGCCGCCTTCTCAACTCACCACACTCTGGTCCCCTAGAACTCAGAGATTGCCCAGGGCCCATTCAGCCTGGCCCAGCCGAAACACAGTGCAGGGAAATCTGAGACAGGCAAGCCTGGCTGGGATGGGCAGTGGAGGAGCCTGGGGTAAGGCTGGCACAGGAGTGCAGAGAAAGCTGAATGGTCCCACACCCTGCAGCCTGTTGAGGATGCTGATCAAAAGCAGTGGCTTTACTGAGGTCCAGTCACACACCATAAAAGTCACCATTTAAGGTGCACAATGAATGACTTTTTCAGTCACTTCACAGAGCTGAAAAACCATCCTCATAATCTATCCATAGAACATCTGTCACACTGGGCTCTCCAGAGAAGCAGAATCAATAGGGTATGCACATAAATAATAATAGATTTATTTTAGCAACTGGTTCATGTGATTGTGGAACTAGCATGTCCCAGGTCCATGGGGCAGTCTAGAGGCTGGGGCACATGCAGGGCTCATCCTGTAGCCTCGAGGCTTCTTTTCTGTTCTTTCTTTTCTTTTCTTTCTTTTCTTTTTTTTTTTGAGAAAGGGTTTCACTCTGTCACCCAGAGTGAGTGCAGTGGCATGATCACAGCTCATTGCAGCCTCAACTTCCTGGCTCAAGTGATCCTCTTGCCTTAGCCTCCTGAGTATCTAGAATTCAGACATGTGCCACCATGCTTGGCTAATTTAAAAAATTTTTTGTAGAGACAGGGTTTTGCTATGTTGCCCAGGGTGGTTTCAAACTCTTGGCCTCAAGTAATCCTCCCACCTCAGTCTTGCAAAGTGCTGGATTACAGATGTGAGCCACTATGCTTGACCCTAGAGCTTCTCTTTTACTAGTCTTTTTATTTTCTCTTAAGACCATCAGCTTCCTGGAGGAGGACCACCCTGCACACTATGGAGAGCATCTTCCTCACTGGCTGTAGATGTCCATCCCAGTTTCAAAACAGCTTCACAGCAACATCCAGATCCATGTGTGATGAACAGTTGGGCACTGAGGCCTGGCCAAACTGGCGTGTAAGGCTGACCTCGCAGGAGGTTTCCTTTCCCCAAAAGGTTCACTCAACATGTCTGTAGTCATCCCTGCTGTCCTGGGCCCTGGCAATGCTGATCTGCAGTCTCTCTACGGAAGTGCTCGTTCTGGACATTCCCTCCAAGTGGGACCTTTCACTGAGGAGTGTACTAGGTCCATCTGTGCCACAGTGCACATTGGAGCTTCAGTCCTGCTCCAGAGACCACCCATGTTATCCTATTCTTGGTCCACGAGCACTCCAGCTGTGTCCTCCTGCTCCCCTGGTACAAAAGCGACTGCGAACATGAGTCTCATGTAAATGTTGCTCTCAGGAGGTGCCTGAGTGGAATCACTGGAGACTGGGGTACATTTAGCTTTTTGAGGAACTACCAGACTGTTTTCTGAAGTTGCTGCCCCACCTTCACACTCCCAGGGGTGGGACACACCTGTTCCCCTTGTCCTACTGATACATGTCCTCTCTGGCACACACTGGCTTTTACAACAAAGGGGCAGCCATTCTGGGGGAACTTGGATTAAACGAGTAGGCCTGGGATGGCCACCATCCCTCAGTCACCACATCTGCAAGGCAGGGGCCACCAGGTCTTCCCAACCCAGCACCTGACGACAGAGGATGGGGCCAGGACAGGCCTGCAGGCTGCAGGGAAAGGGATACTTGGGTACTCATGGCATGTGCACACACATACCACACACACCACACACATACCACAAACACACACCACACATACACACCTGTCTTCCTCTCAGTGTAGTGCCCTTGATGAGCCATCCCGGGAGATAGCCCTCTGGTCTGTGGGGAATCTGGAGCCTTCCCTCCTGGGAACACCTGCTGGGGAAAGCATGATCATGGTCATGGTCACTGCAGGCATTTTGGCTCTGTTCTCCTTGGCAGTCCCATGCCCTAATCCAGGAAGCAGTGAGCAGCAAGACCATGGGCCTGGTGGCCTCAGACCCAGTTGGCGGCTGCTCCTGTTCCAAGACTGTCTCCACAGTGCCTGGGGGAGGGAGGGACTTTCTTGTCCTCAAGTCACTAGGGCGGGGACGACTGACCCACCCAGGCCTAGTCCTGGTGGATTCTGGGACCCCACTTGCTTGCCAAGGCCCCAGGGATGTGGGGGTGACAGTACTCTCCTAAGGCAGGTTAACATGGTATTTATCTTCCCATCCCTGGGTCCTGCAGGGACTTTCCATATTCCAGAGGTATCAGAAGAGACCCATGTGTGAAGAGGAGGAAGACCGTGAGGAGGCCTCTGGCACAGGAAGGGCCAAGGAGGGGGGCAGAGGGTAGGGGGCACACGGTGTCCCAGCACTGTCACAGGAGCAGGAAGGACAGTCAGCGGGGCCTGGACCCGAAGCCTCGGAGGTTGGTGGCATACCAAGAGGATGAGTACAAACTTGGTCCTCCATCCCAAGAAACTGGGGGGTCAGCAGCCCCCCCTTGGGATTCCCCTGCCCACTACACTGGGCCATTTGCAAACACAGTGTTCACAGCAGACATTCCTGCTCCTCTCAGTTTCAGACAAACACCCAGTCACACCTACGGCAGCATGTCTCAGGGTCTCAGCCCCCAAAACTCGAGGCCAGTCTAGAGATTGGAGCCCCAAAGAGGACCAGGCACAGGGGCACCCCGGCACTGAGGCACCATGGTGACCAAGAGATATTCCACAGTACAGGGCCTGCACAGCAGCATTCAGAAGCCAGCCAGGTGGCCATCATCAGGAAGGGTGTGAGCAGATGTGCTGGTGGCCCTTGGATGGGCAGATGTCCACCAGAAGGCTAGTGAGAGCAGGAAAGAACAGCTGTGGCAGTTCTGCTGCCCGGGAGCTGGAAGCTGTGGTAGGTGTTGCTGACCTGGGGCTGGGGGCCCAGGATGGTCCAGGAGAGCAGTCGGGAGCCAGAGTGTCCCCTGCAGGCCCTAAAGGGCCAGGGTGATGAGGAGTGGCCCAGCTGGTTTGGGCCTCAAGCTCCGGCCTGGAGTGACTGACTGTCCTGACTTTTGGGACTGAAGATTTTCCAGGATTGGGGCCTTTGGGTGCTAAAACTAGGTAACAACCACCTGGGAACAGCTCACCCTAGGTGGTGGGATCAGCCCTTAAGCCAGTGTCAGAAAAGAGGCAGGACATGTGGGCAACCTGGGCCTATCTGGGTGGGAAGATGGCTGCCCATGATCTGTAGCATTTGGGGAAAATCTGGGGAAAGCCAGGAGATGAGGAGAGTCTGCACTGACCAGTCCTTCTTTGTGTCCATGGCTGAGTGAGAGGAACTTCAAGCACAGAAGCCAAAGCTGCCCCCAGGTTCCTCCTTGGAGGCCCTGGAGACCTAGAGGAGAGGGCTCCAGGGGCCCTGGCTTGTCTCCCTGGTCACTCCTGAGCAGCCCTGAGTTCCCTGCATCCCATCAACCTGCTCTGATGTTTCACTTTCCAAAACCTTGGTCCTGTCTCCAAACATCAGAATCACCCACATTGGAGCCCTGGGGCAGCATGAACGAATGGGGGCAGCATGGATGTGTGAGGACAGCATGGAGACACGGGGGCAGTGTGGATTCATGGAGGCAGTGTGGACGTGAGAGGGGCAGGCTGTGGAGACCAGGGCCAGGGAGACCCTGGGTAGACTCTTAGCTCCCTCATGACTAGGAGGACAAGGATGCCAGCATTGAGCAGAGCCTGCTAAGCTTCCTAGGCAGTGGGTCTTGGGGGCCGAGGAAAAGCCCGGACTGTCCTGGGCAGCTGGACTTTTTCCCGTGCTCCAGAATCTCAGCCCCACAGGAGCTGGTGGGCTGGGAGCCCATCTCTGTGCTCCCACAGTCAGTGCTCTGACAGTCACACAGGACCCCTACCTGATGTCCTCCTAGTTCCATTCTAGACATCAAGTCCAGGACCCATACAGGCAGCAGTGGGGCGTAGGGTCACACCTGGAGACCACAGCCATACAGCCTGCTGCTTCCCATGAGTGAGGAAGGAGGGTCACAGGCCACCCTTAAGGCGTATGTCCTTGTCATCAGCCCCAGCATCACTGAAAGCGTCCCAGCTGGGCTCTCATAGCCTGTAGGCCTCACGTCTAGGGAAGGGGAGGCGGGAGGAAAAGTGGATAGGAGGATAGGAGGAGAGAAGGAGAGGGCGGGGGTGGCAGTCAGTGGGGCAGGGGAGAGTAGGGGAAGGCAGGGAAGGGCAGGAGGGAGGTCATGGGAAAGCAGGAGGCCGGGGGATCAGGACAGGCAGGGGAAGGGGAGGGCCAGAGAGAGCAGGGCAGGGAAAGCCAGGGGAGGACACAAGTGGAGAGGAGAGAATGGAAGGACAAGGGAGGAGTGGGCAGGGCAGTGCTGCAGCCCATTGGGTGGGTGGGCATGTGGGGCCCAGGGACACTCTGTTGAGGAACAGTGTTTTCTTGGCTTTAAACGTCGTCCCCGATACCCACTGACCAGTGGGGATGTTTGCTGCCTCAGCAACTGCAGAACCCAGAGTTCACTTGAAAGAGATGGAGTTCATTTCTGACATTCACCCAGGATCCCCCAACCTGCCTCTCACGGGGGTTTTTGTTGCCTCTGGGTCTTGGCAAAATGTTCATTTTTCCTCAGGACGTGCTGCCATCCAGTCAGCTCTTGAGGCTCTACCTGCCCCCAGGAGGGAGGGGCTCATTCATCCCTCTGCCTTGGGTCTGGTTCTGCCCCTGGTCAGTGCTGGGTGGCAGTGGCTGGACGGTCTTTCCAGGGCAGGAGGCCGAGGCCACTGACCAGGGCCACAGACTCAGCAGGACTTTGGAAGTTGGGCCCCATTTGGCTCTGGAGGCCTGGGCTCTGGGGCCACAGGATTTGGGGTGAGAACTGTAAAAATATCCTGTAGCTCATCTAGAAAAACAAGTATGAAAATCACCAGAAAAGCCAAGGCACAAAGGCATTCAAAGGTTTTCCTCTGAGGCCCAACATCATAACATGGTGGCCTGGGCTCAAAAGACAGAATCCAGGGTTGACACAGGCAGGGGTGCCATCCCTCGGGGAAAGTGTGCTGATCCTACATCAAAGTAAAACCCAAAAGGAATTTTATATGTAACTGTAAGACATGAAATCCCAAAAGAGCAAAGAGAAAATACCAGTGATCATATTTCTGGAGTAAGAAACAGGAAGGTGATTGAAAGTTTGACCCACACCCAGGAAAAAGGTGAGAAATTTGAGTCCATGTCATTTCGAATTCTGAAGCAGAAAAATTACTTAAAAGTCAAGTATAAATGGCTCACTATCAAGCCCAGCTGGCATGCCACCAAGGGCTGGACACGTGTTTGTGACAATGCCTGAGCAACTCTGCTTCTAAGATTTTATCTGAGATTCAAAAATCAGGCGTGGATAAAGATTTATGTACAGAGGTGTTCATTTCAGCATCACTTTAAAAACCAAAGAAACCATGGAAATTTCCATAGTTGTTAAATAGATTATGACATGGCCATTGAGGTGTGGAAAATTTCATTTTCAGAGAAGAGCAAAGCCTTGTTCTGGAGGGTCATTAACAGGAGAAATCCAAAGTATGCTGGTAATGGGGGAAAACGGGAATGCAAGATTGTGAAATGTAATCCCAAACTTTATTTGAAACAAACCAGAAGTGTGTGTGTGTGTGTGTGTGTGTGCACACGTGTGCAAATGTGTTGTGAGAGTTTGCATGTGCCAGCATGACTGTGTGGGAGATAGTGTGTGTTTGTGTGTGCACACATGGTTGTGTAAGCGTGTGCACATGTGCTCAATGCATAGAAGCTTGAAAGAGATGCTTTAAAATATACACAGTGGGCTGGGTTCAGTGGTTCATACCTGTAATCCCAGCCCTTTGGGAAGGCCAAGGAAGGAGAATCCTTTGAACCCAGGAGTTCAAGACCAGCCTAGGCAACACAGAGAGATCTCATCTCTACAAAAAATTTAAAAATTAGCTGGGTATGGTGGTGTACCTATACTTGGGAGGCTGAGGCAGAAGGATTGCCTGAGCTCAGGACATCAGGCTTCGATGAACCATGATCATGTCATTGCACTCCAGCCTGGGTTGTCACCAGTGAAATTCTGACTCGAAAGAAGGAAGGAAGAAGGGAAGGAAGAAAGGAAGGGACGGAGAGAGGGAGGAAGGGAGGGAGGGGAGAAAAGAAAATAAAAGAAAACAGAAAAACAATCCACAGTGTTAGCTTTGGATGGGAAGATTTTAGGGAGTGTTCTGTTTTGTTTTAAGTTGGAATCTCACTCCATCACCCAGGCTGGTGTGCAGTGGAACATTCACTGCCACCCCAGCGTTGACTTGCTGGGCTCCGGTGATCCTTCCCCCTCAGCCTTCCAAGTAGCTGGAGCTACAGGCGTGTGCTACCCCACCTGGCTAATTTTTTAATTTTATTGTAGAGATGAGGTCTTGCCAAGTTGTCCAGGCTGTTCTCGAAACTGTGGGCTCAGGCAATTCCCTCACCTCAGTCTCCCAAAGTGCTGGGATTACAGGCTTGAGCCACTGTGCCTGGCTTGTTTTGTTTTTTTACTTTTTATGTTTTGAGATCTTCCCCAAATTTCTGACGCAGGGTGTACACAGCTTTAAGATCAAAATTGTTATTTCAATGTCTGCAGCCTCCACAGTCACCCCAAAACTTAGCCAAGTTCAGGTTGGTGAGGGTGTACATGTCTGGAATAATGAGATCCCTCTCCCTCTGGGGTCCCCAGGTCCTTTTACTCTACACACTGGGCTACTGGCACCTGCTTTCCAGAAGGAAACGGGTGCTCAAGGCTGGCGGCTGATGAGGTCAGACCTGGTGCCCAGTCCGGCATCATCTGTCCATGCAGTGTTCCCCTGCCCTGCCTGTGTCACCTCTGGAGGCCCCTCCCTCTTCCTTCTTTAGCCCCTCCCTGCTCCAGGCACTCCTCCCTTCTGAAGACCTAGTCCAGTCCCAGCTCCACCTACACAGGGGTTGCCAGCCAGGACTGTGTGGACACCCCTCCTTTGCTCTTTGAGTAATGACCTGTGGCTGTGTCCAGGCCAGGAGAGCCTGCTCAGGTAGGAGGTGCAGAGTGAGGGATGCTAGGGGTTGTCCACTGGTGGGTGAACCACTCTTACTGGTAGATGGTTGTGTGAATTTAGGTCAGGGTGATCAGGAATGATATTGCTGTGAACACTGGTATACAAGTCTCTGCTCACATGTCCCAGGTAAACCCCGGGAATGAAATTGCTGGGCAGGTGAGGGCTTATTTTTAATGAAAATATCTTGGTGTTCCCCAAAACAACTAAGCCACTGACACTCACTAGCAAGTCCAGGTGTTCCTGTTATCTACATCCACCTGGAATCTTCTGGATTTGGGGTACATTTGAGGAAGGAGTTTCTTTTCAGAGAGGCTACTGAGAATCCCTTAGTAGCTGTCCTGGAGTTGAATGTTTTGTAAATTTGATCTTGGGTCTACAGGGTTCATGGTGGGGCCTGGGAAGGAGCAGCCTTTGCTTCACGGGGCCTGAAGCTCCCTGGAAGACTGTGGGCTGCTTCGCAGAGCAGCCGGGATGGGACTGGGCACGCACCTGCACCAGGAAAAGGCCTAGGCACCAGGCACCAGATGCATCTTCCACTCCGTTCTTAACCCCCACACATCCCCAGCTGCCTCTGCCCAGAGCAAAAACAGTGAAAGGAAGGTGTACTGGGCAACCTTTGGGCACCAGGAACAAGGCCACAGAGGGCCCAGTGCCCAGTGGGTGAGTGAATGAACAAACGAATTAATGAATGATCTGTATCCCTTGACTGGGTGGGGGCAGATTCCTGATACAGATGACTGGCGGTGGGTATCTGGTTTACCAGGCACTCTCACATTCCTGACCAATGGCTGGTCAGTCTTCAGGCGGCTCTGGCCTGCTTGGGGTTTGGCCTCAGGTCACCATTCCCTGGCCAGAGCTGCCACAGGGCAGTGGGGGTGGATGCCACATCTTCCAGGCTGGCCTCAGGGCAATGGGGCTTTTTCAGACAACCCTGGACCCCACTCCCCACCTTCCACATTGAAGGAAACGAGGACGTAAGATGACAAGGTCCTTATGTCCTAAAAATACACAAGTTTGACAAGGTCCTTGTGTTTCTGGCCTGGCTCCAACAAGAGCTTGGCCAGTGTTTTCTTCTCTCGATGTTTGCCCCTGAAAATGTTGATTTAGTAAAATTCAAGTGGTGTGACTTCTAGTCTGCGCAGACTGGATATAGCCTGCTTCAATAATAACTTTACTCAAAACTTCAAAAAACACAGATGTTAATGGTTTTACTTAAACTCACAAAAAAACAAAGATGTTAGTGCTATAATAAACTCGCCAAAAAAGTCACAAACATTAACCTTTTTCCCAGTTGATGCTAACATTAAGATATTTCTTGTTTACGAAGTTTTGCCCTATATAAAAAATATACTGTAAAAATAAACTTGCTCTCACCTATTAAGGTGAGAGACCTCCCAATCCCGCTGTTCTTTGTCTTTCTTTTCTCATTCCCTCCCCTCACCTCAGGCCCTGCTCAGTAGAGGCTCTAACTTCGCACCACATAGTGAGCATGGAGGTTTTATGCCCAGCTTGCTGCCTGGGGGTACACTCACATGTAGATTCATGAGTCTTGTGTCCCCCAGCTGCCCTTCATGTAAATTATTTATCAACAAAAGAACACACACATTCTAGCCTGTACTTTCATAATCTTTCAGGAACAATGTTTTTCAGGAAGTGAGTTGCACCTACAGCCAGTAGATACCATTGTTTACCTGCCCAAGTAGCTCTCTGCTTTTGAGACTGTCCTACCAAATGGAGCTCAAAGGGGCACCACCCACTGTAGGTGACAGCAGTAATGGTGTTTGTGAAGTGAGTGGTGGTCCTGGTTGGGGAAGACAGTGGAGCTGGTCAGCAAAGACCTGAGTACAACCTCATAGGTTCCCCTCCAGTGGCCTGGAAAGCCAGCCCTGGGGACAGGTTGGGGGGGGGGACTTGTGCTCCTTCACCCTCTGGGGGGAGCACTCAGGAGCTGTCCCAGGCTGTCCTGGCACCTTTCCCTACCACATGCAAGGGCAGGTTTTTCCATTTGAATTCCAGACAGATGATGGCCCTGCAGGAAGCAAGGCTGCCAACAGCCACTGGCCAATGGCCAAGGGCTCCAGACTTGGGCTTCTTCCAGGCCAGCTGAGTGCCCAGCACCATGCAGGGGTCAGGGAAGGCCAATTCCCCTGGGACTGATCCAGGCCCCAGAGGAGCCCTATCCATCCCCTGAGCCACTCAGGGCAGGCGCACAGGCAGGCGCTGGCCCAGGATGGACAGCTCTATTCTGTCACTTTCCCCACCTGGAGCCACGGAGACAGAGGCTGGGGAGCCTGGCTGGTACATGAGGTCAGAGTGGGACACAGCCTAGGTGCTCAGCAGCCTGAGGACTCCTGTCCACACCCCAGCCTCCTCTCTTCTCTCCCCCTGCACGAGGTCCCCCATTGCCGACTCTGCCTGGAACGTCTTCCATCTTCCTGGGCAGCCCAGGGGCCACCTCCTGGTGAGACTCTGTCCTCCCTCAGGCTACATGGACTCAGCTGGGTCATCTATGTATGTCACGGCCCCCACAGTGCCCTCTTGGCAGATCACACCAATGGGCCACCTCCAAGTTCTCATTCCTGTTTCATAGCTGAAACAGTAACTGTCCAGGCCATGATGGGACCCACAGATGGGAGTCACAGAAGTGCACAAGCCAGCATGTAGGCAGAATGTAGGTAGGTACCTGGACCTAACAGGCACTCACAGGTTGTGAGACTGGGTTGTCATTCGTCCAGGAGGCCACCAACAGGAATGCCAGCTCTGCTGCTCAGTTGGGCTTTGTGGCCTCCAGCACCCTGCAGCGTGATTGAAAACACAGAGCTATGTCTCACCCCAAAACTATGTGTTGGCAGGAAATACGAGGCACTGTGGCTGCTTGGGGTGTCACCCCTCATCCTGGCAGTCACAGAGGCCGCTCAGAGTCAAGACTTCGCCCAGAGGCTGGGGGCCAGGTGGGGGCTAGGCCGGGTGTCTGATAGGGGCTATTTCTGCCCTTGACCTCCCCCTTTCCCCCTTCCCAGTCCCTGACCACTGAGCTGAGTCGAGGTGGAGAGTACATGGCCCCTGCACGCCTGCCCAGGAAGCTGAAGGCCAGGAGCCATCTCTACCCAAGACGTAGCCAAGAGGCAGCCTGGGTGGGTATGGATGAGACTTGGTTAGGTGATGAGGAGTGGCATGAGCCAACGTGCCCACCTCACCATAGGCAGGGCTCCGGGACCAGCAGACATGAGCAGGGGAAGTGGATCTGAGCCCACAGTAGGTTAGCGCACCGCAGGCCCTGACCCAGGCTGGGGGTTTGGACTCCTTTCTGAGGGAGGTGCAGTGCAGGGAGGTGGGACACACTCCACCTCAGGACTATCACGAAGGAGGTCCAGAACAAGAGTTTCCAGGGTCTGGGGCCAAAAGGGGAATGGGGAGGAAAAAAGGAGACGTCAGAACAGCTGCAAACCTCCCCCAAGACTGGCCCCTTCTGGCCCACACTGGGATTGGCCTCATTAAGAGACAGGAATAGACACTGCACTGTCCCTGCCTCATTCCACAAGCCCTGGCAGACCCTATGGGTCAGGGCGGGGGGGGGGGATGGGAGGCAGAGTCCTGGGCAGCCTGTGCTGAGGGTAGGGCCCTGGGGAGGGAAAAGGGGATGAAGCCTTGGTCCAGGAACCCACCTGGGTGTGTGGAGACCAAGAGGTGTCCACCAACCCCTTCCTCTCTCCCAGGCCTTCCCTGAGCACCCACCCACCAGCTCTGTCTGCTCTTTGCTGAGGGGCACAGAAGGGGGTCCCTGAGAGAGGGGCCACCTAGGGGCTGCAAGGGGACTCAAGCTTGGCAGCAAGTCAGCCTCGAACCCGCAGTAAGACTCAGAGACCCCTGGTGTCCATCAGGATAGAGGCTGCGTGGCCTGATTCCCCGCCACACTGTGGGGGGAAGGGCACTCCTCAGGCCCCCACCTTCTCTGGATGGGAGATGGCCACGCCCCACCCCAGTTCCCCAAGGTCAGCTCAGCCTCAAAAGGGGGTGAGTGTGAAGAAAAGCTAAGGGGAGTCTCAGTCAGGGCTCAGGCACCTGTTCTCTCTGGCACAGCTGCTGGCAGGTAGGTAAGGAGGGGCTGCTGGGAGCCTGGCGTCATTGAGGGAGTAACTGGTGCTCATATTGCTCTGAGCCAGCCAGGACCTGAGCCCCCATTTCATATTGGGATTGGGGGCAGACAGGAAGGACAGAGATGTACAGACAAGGAGCCCAGACTGCTGAGAAAAGCCCAGGAGAGGGAAATGTGGCTTGGTGCCAGGAGCCAGCTCCTGGGATCCTAAACAGAACCTCAGGGCCCCTTGTTGGGAAGAACATGGAGTTCCACACGGTGAGCTCAGGGCTGGGAATAGGCCCTATACCTTCTTCTGATGCTTACAGTGAGTATCAGACATCCCGGGAAAAGACACAGAGATGGGACTGGCTTGCAATGAATCTGACTTCCCTTTTCCCCTTGGCCACTAGGAGTCTTAGGCCTCCACTCTGAGGTGCAGCTTAGCTGCCCTCTCCTCTGCTTGGTCTTCATCTGCTATTCTCTTGTTTTGCACTTTGTTGCTTCTCCCCCAGATTATTTTTTGAAAGTGGTATGTAAATTGGATAAATGAAACATGCAGTCTGGGGAAATAACTTGTTATTACCACCTGGTCTAGCCCCATCTCTCACTCACCTACTTCTGGGACCAAGAGACTTTAAGAGGGGAGGGCCTTAAACAGAGGCCAAACTAAGGTGGGGCAGAGATTGTACAGAGGGGGACAGAGGTTGGCTAGAGCAGAACAGAAACTGGACAGAGGCAGGACAGAAGTGAGAAAGAGAGTGGACAGACAGAACAGAGCAGGGCAGAGATGGGACAGAGTCAGGACTGTCACAAAGGAAAACCAGGTAGAACCAGGGGCCCTGGGCAGCCTGTATTGAGGGCAGGGCTCTGGGGAGGAAAAAGAAGATGAAGCCTTGGTCCAGGAACCCAACTGGGTACATGGAGACCCTGAGGTGTTCACCCCACCTCCTCTCCTAGATCCTCCCTGAGTGCTGTACAAAAGTGGGACAGAAACTAGACAGAAGCAAGAAAGAGGCTGGACAGAGGCAGGACAGAGACTGGACAGAGGCAGGACAGGGACAGACAAAGGATGGACAGAGGCAGGACAGAAGCTGTGCAGGGGCTGTTCAGGTCTCCCTAGGGCATTGCCATAAGAAGCAGTCATGGGAAGGGCCAAGGAGTGAACCCATGAGAACCCATGTGATGTGTAGGGGGTGTGGACAAGGCCCAGTACTGATGGAGTCTTCACAATATCTGGGCCACCCCGAGTTCTTGGGACCACCCTCAGGCTATGGATCCCCTATCTCCTTGGACTTTAATGTGGTGAGCACCACCCCGAGGGAACTGCCAGCACCAGAGTGGGGCTGGTTGACATTGCTGGTGTGTTAGGCCCTTGGTCTCCTTTTTGGTGACAAGCAGAAGTGCCCCCAACCCCTGTCCTTGTAAGCCCCCATCCAGTTCTGTCCCTGTGGAAAGCATGGGTGTGAGCCAGGACGTGGGGCAGGTGGCAAGCGGCATGGCCTGTGAACAGTGCACCAGGTCCCACAGCACCATCAGCCAAGAACCCCAGCAGATCAGAAAAATCGCTGAATTCAGTTCTAACGCCTAATGGGGAAGAAACCAGTCAACCTGGTTTTGTATCTAGTTCTGCCCTGAGAAGGGGAACCAGTGAGGTTGGTATAAAATGTGCTGGAATCGTGCCTAAGATGTCACCTCACTATGGCTCAAAGTCACTGCCACTCTCCTTGACAACCCTTCCTTGCTTGATAGGACACCCGCAGTGACATGCTTTCTGCAGACCTCGGGTCCCACCCATGGTTGATGCTGCAGTCAAGGAGGTAGTTTCAGTGTCTCTGTTCACAGAACAGCAGCCTTCCAGAGACCTCCTCCTTCAAGTTTTCACTAGCCCTATGGCCTGTCCCCACTCAGTGGACACTCCTGCCACTGTGCTTGGCTGGCTTAGGCTACTACTGGCCTGGTCAAAGAGCTGGCCAGACCTCCCCACCAAGTGAGAAGGTTTTAGGCGGCAGACGCCAGTCACGCTCTGGACACTGGGGGAGGTGCCAGGCAGCAACTACCATGTCAGACCCAGCAGTGACCCTATGCAGCATGGTAGAGGTCAGCTCCAAGCTGGCCGTGGTGACAGGTCTTCCCTGGCAGTACCAACGATAGGAGGACCCCCTTTTCCCCCACCGTTATCTTTCCTTTGAAAACAACAGTCTGACATATGTAGAAAAGGAAACTGTTCTCCGTTTATTCCCACGGCCCCATGGCCCTGATCACGCACCCACCCAAGAAGCCAGGACTCTTTTGGCCTTACCCCTGGCACTGGCAGGGACACTCTGGCCTGGCCTGGACCCCTCCCTATCACATTTCATCATTGCCTCTCTTTTGTGGCTGTCTGCCCTTTGTTCACAAGAGCCTGGTCATGGATAAGAAGCTTCTCACATAACCCAACAAGAGCCAGCTTCAGCCCTCCATATCCCACAGACTCAATGCTCCGGTTTCATATTCTGGCTTCAGTTTGTGCTCAGGTTGGCTCTGGTGGCCGGTGCATCTCAGAGACCCTGTTCCCTCAGGCAGGACGAATGGGGTTGTCATGTGAGAAAACAGACACAGGTCAACTTCATGGACACTCCTTTTTCTGACAAGCAAGACTCATACTCATCATAGTCTTTGATTTTAAAAGTAATAATCATCTTTAACTTTAAATGAAACACTTTTATTTAAAAAATAAATCACTCATCAGAGGATACTCCTGAGATTCCAATTTCTCCCTGGGAATCTTCCAGCAGAATCGATGCCCCATGCAGCTCCTGGAACCATCTCACATTGGGTCAAACCATAAAGCTGTTCATCAGGTTCATGGGTGCTTTGAGGGCAAAGTTCACGGTATGAGGATTTGCTTCTGAAGCTACAGATTTCCCCACTTTAGAAGAAGGAAATTCCTGTTTTTGCCCAAGTATTTTATTTCTTATCCAAGTACCTCTGTGATGATCATGAATAGTCTAAGTAGCACAGAATGGAAATCAAACTAATAATTTATAATTTACTTATTTCAAAAGCACTTTAACCCATAACCAACCTAACACCTGCTTTCTTCAAATGCATTTATCCCTTAGGTGCAAGAAGAGGCCCATGAAGGGGCAGTGTCACATAGGTAACTCCAATGTCACAGACAAGATTGGGTTTCCATGCAGTATTTTCTGCCTATCCCACCCACAACCATAGCAGCAGAGCCTGTGAAAAGTTAAGACTAGAAGAAACCAAAGGATGATCTAAGTTGGGGGAGGTGGGCAGCTTTCCCACGCAGGACTGAGGACCTGACCTGGAGAGCATCCTTGAGGCAACTGGCCTCAAGGACAGCCTCATCCCCCCAACTAGAGTGCAGTCTCATCCTTCCCAGATCCACAAATTCTTCCTTTAAAAACATGACTTCAGCCATGCACAGTGGCTCACATCTGTAATCCCAGCACTTTGGGTGGCCGAGGCAGAAGGGTCACCTGAGCCCGAGTTTGAGACCAGCCTGAACAACACAGTGAGCCTGTCTCTACAAAAAATTTAAAATAAAAGTGATCTCACTTCAATGTCCCACCCAGGAGGAGAGGAGGGGTGTATGGGGCCTCAACACCCCTACCCTCACCAGCCCAGAGCCTGAGATCTGACCGAGAAAGCTCTCTGTCCACTGATAGAAGCAGCTGGAATCAGGGAGCACATTTCAGGCTGTCCTCTGTGTGTGGAGTGTGGCCCACACAGGCCTGAGCCAGATATGTGGTGCAGGAAAGGCCGTGGATTAGATGAGTTGTGGCCTCAGGGTCCTCAGGGTCCAGACCCTCACAATGCCACAATTGGCCTCATGTCTGCTCATTCCTAGGGCCCAGGATACTCCCTTTTCCCCTATAAGGCCCTAGAGCAGCTCCATGGCCACAGGGTGCCAAGGATGACAGCCTTCTCCAGTGTTGGAGGCATCTGTATCGGGGGCTCATGAACACAAGTCCATGCTGGATGGGCCAAGGAAGGATGTGTTCGTGGCTCTTCTCAGGCAGCCTGAGTCAGGGCAACCAGAAGAGTCCAACTTCAAGTGGGTGGTTGACCCTGGAATGGTGCACTAACCCAGGATAGTGGTCTCTGGGGGAGGCCTCTGTGGGACAACACCCAAATCTGGCAGAAGCCAGGCCTGGACATGCCCCCCACCTTGAGAGGCCTCCCCCATGGCTGGTCTATTCTCGGCTTCTCTGATCATCCCTTTAATGTGAAAGTTGGGGATAGTACTGGGGCAAGAAAGGGATAGGCAGAGCTGTGGCTAGACAGGAGACCAGGAGCTAGAGACAGCAACACCCAGAACCTCCTCAGTGGGGACACACTTGGACCCAGCTGTTGGGGACTCGGGCCAGTGATGGGACAGGGCTCAGTACAGTGACCAAAGTACTCAGGGTGATTCAGGGTCAGTAGTCTCAGGGACACAGACTTGGAGCCAAGGGAATAGTAGATGTTCGTTGTCACCTCAAATCCAGTAGAAGCCCCTCCCCGGAAGGACTCTGTTGCTGTCCCCAGAACTACCCGCTCATTGAAGCCTTCTCTACAGCTGTCATGGTTTATTGATTCTGCAGCCCAAGTAAAAGCCACTGACCCTACATAAGTACTGTTCCATTTAAAAGTCTGCCGATGCTTTAGTCAGTCTTCGATGGGCTGGGTGGTTTCTAAATGTGGATGAGGCCCAGGTAAAATGGGTCCTGTGTCTGCTCACAGATGGGGATTTCTACCCAGGGCCTGTAAGTCCCTTTTCTGAGGGAGGATCATGTTGGGCCTGTGTCTATAGTCTTCGAAACAAACACTCAACCCTGTGAAGGGAAAAGCTGGCCCCCTCAATTTACTCACAGATGAAAGATTAAAACATCAGCAAATCAGACTTGGAGAAGATTCGTAAGGCACTCTGTGCAATGGAATGGGCGGAATGGAAGGGATGAGGTGTGTGCCACTTTCCACATGGGCTGTGGACTGGGCCCTCCAGATGTTTTCCTTGGGTTCTGGGCCCACTGGCTATGGAAATGCTGGGTCTGCGATGCCGTGGTCGGGGTTGCAGCTGAAGGCAATGGTGATGGCATAACGGGTGCCCCAGCGGACCTTCTCCACCCGGTGCAGGTTCTCGGACCCTGAGGTGAAGAAGGAGACTCGTCCTGGAAGAAAAGGAGAGAGAGGTGGCCATGCGGCCACATGCACAACCAGGGCCTTCAGGGGGCCTATCGCCATCAGGCCACCCAATGCAGCAATTGTGACCAATCAACACAACAACCAATAAACATGCTGGAAGCAAGAGAAGCTGAAGAAACAAACCCAGCAGAGGTTGGGAGACCAGAGTCCTCTGAGCCAGAGCCTCTTGGGGCCATCAGGGGCTCTCTGTGGTGAGGAAGGTGGAGGGAGGAGCCACAGACCTGGGGACAAGGCCATCAATTGCTCCAAGTGCCCCGAATCATTTGATGTCCTGACCTCTTACAGACCATCCAGATATGACACTTTAGGATCTTTTTTCTTTCTTTTTTTTTTTTTTTGAGTCAGAGTCTCACTCTGTCACCCAGGCTGGGGTGCAGTAGCACACTCATGGCCACTGTAGCCTTGACCTGCTGGGCTCAGGTGATCCTTCTGCCTCAGCCTTCCAAGTAGCTGGAACTACAGGTGCACACCAGCATGCCCAGCTAATTTTTTGATTTATTGTCGAGTCGAGGTCTCGCCAAGTTGCCCAGGTTGGTCTTGAACCCCTGGGCTCAGGCAATCCTCTCGCCTGCCCCTCCCAAAGTGTTAGGATTACAGGCGTGAGCAGCCGTGCCTGGCTTGGATCTTCTTTCTAATCACATGTCAAAAACCAAAACCAAACCCAGGAGGGGTTCTAACACAGAATCAGGGAAGACAAGCCAGGACAAAACATCCAACTCTCAGTACCCAGCTGCTTCCCACCAAGTGGGGTGAAAGGTAAAAATGGGGAATAGTTAGCATTCCCAGCAGCCAAAACTGCTGCAGCTCTGAGTCCTGGGAGTAGGGAGTCCTTCCAAATATCAGTTTCTAGAGGATTCCATGTTGATTTGCCTACACCACTGTAGATTTTTAAAGTGGCTGTTCACTGTAAGTGAGGGGTCCTGAGACTACAAATGTACTGTCCCTGCCAGAGGGCCTGGCTCCAAATGTCCTGTGACAATTCCATTTTCCTTCAAAGGTTACTGCTGAAAACTTGATTTCTTCCTTTCATATTTGTAACTTGACTCTAAATCTTTGAAAAGGGGGGAAAAATTTCATCCCAGATGTGTACTGCATTCTAGCTGTCAAGAGAGAATCATATTCTGCCTAGAAAGAGCAGAGCAAAAGAAATCACATGAATGCAATGGAACATGTCTGAATGGAGGCCTGGAGACTCCCAGGAACTCAAACAAGGCAACTGGTTATTCCTCCCTGACCAGTCAGATCGCCTCCAGATATGAAGGAAACACTCTTTCCAGGGTAATGTGGAGTCATAATGCTTTCTGAGCTTACATTTTTAAGGGCATGCTATCCTTGGTTTCTTCGAGTTTCTATCAAACCTGAGACACTGGAACAAGTAGGGAGGTCCACCTGCAGAGCAGGGCCCAGCAGTTTGGGGAGTTCAGGACCTTCAGCCTCTCCTGCCCAGCCCACTCTCTCTGCTCCCCTATTACAGACAGAAATGGTTTTCAGGTGTTTGCCAAGCTCCAATAAGGGGGTCGGCCAGGCTCAGTGGCTCAGCCTGTAATCCCAGCATTTTGGGAGACCAAGGCGAGTGGATTGCCTGAGACCAGCCCGGGCAACTTGGCAAGACCTTATCTCTACGATAAATCAAAAATTAGCCAGGCATGGTAGTGTGCACCTGTAGTTCTGGCTACCTGGAAGGCTGAGGTGGAAGGATTGCCAGAGCCCAGCAGGCCACTGGGGTGGCCGTGAGCGTGCCATTGCACCCCAGCCTGGGTGACAGAGTGAGACTCCAACTCAAAAAAAAAAAAAAAGAGTAGAGGTCTCTATGGACTCTCCATTGTTTCTGCACATCTTATAAACAGAGGCACAAAAGGACAGAGAAAAAAAAGAATTAAGAGCAACTGAGCTTTATGAGCTATGGGACAATAAGAAACCATCCACCATCCATGTTATTGAAGCCTCAGATAAAGATGAGATTACTTTGGGATAGAAAAAGACTACCTAAAGAAATAATGACCAAAACTTTCTCCAATTTGATTTAAAAAAACAACAACAACCAAAAAAAAACCCTTTGACTTTTACATCCAGTAAGCTTAGCAAAGTCCAAGCAGAATAAATATAAGCAAATGCACACCTAGGCACATCATAGTCAAACTGGTAAAATGAAAGATTAGGAAAAATCTTGATAGTAGCAGAGAAAAAAGATGTATTTTTATCACACACAAGGAATGGCAAGACTGCTGACTTCTCATCAGAAAACACAGAAGCTGGAATCAACAAATGACATTTTAAAACTGCTAAAAGAAAACACCGTATCAACCCAGAATTTCACATCCAGTGAAAATATCATTTTTCTAAAAAACTGAAATAAGGACTTTTTTTCAGAAAAATCATGGCCAGCAGAATTGTACTATAAGAAATGCTAAAAACAGAGGGGAAATGATACCAGTTGAAAACCTGGATTTAAAAACAGGAATGGAGAGTACTGGAAAATGATGACTAAGTGGGGAAACATAACATGAGTGTATATGTTCCTGTTTGTTTCCATAAGAGATAATAAGTCATTTGCAGAAAAAAAGATAACATCACATCATAAGGTGGAATTTATCATATATTTAGAAATAAAATATATGAAAATAAAAACACAGAAGTTGGGAAGCTGATAAATGGAATTATACTACTCGAGGCATTTTACATTTGTCGACTGGGAGTATGAAGCAGGATGTGGGTGAATCAGACATTTTTGTATCCACTTTGATCATTCCATCAATTCAACACAGGCCCAAACAAATTTCTGCAGTCATTTTGTAGAAATTAACAAGTTGTTTGCAAAATATGTGTGGAAATACAGCCAAAAAATTTGGGCAGCCAAAATAATTTTGACAAAGAAGGCTAAGGAACACTGACAGCATGCATTTTCAAGAATTTTGATAAAGCTACAGTAATGGAACCACCATGATATCATAAGGAGAGACACATAAATCAATGGAATAGAAATCAGTATCCAGAAATGGAACACACAGATATGGCCTGTGGATTTTTGACAAAGGCATCAAGGGTCACTTCATGGGGGAAAGACAGTGTCTCTAACAGATGCTGCTGAAACAAATGGATATCCATATGTAACAAATGAACACAGACCCCTACCTTACACCATAAATCAATGTTATTTTAAAATGAATCACAGGCATAGACATAAAAGCTCAAACTATAAAGTCTCTAGAAACAGATGTAGAAGAGAAATCTCTGAGATTTGTGGCAAATCTCTCTGGTATGGAATCTTAGGTAGAATCCAAAAGTATTAACTATAAAAGAAAAAAAAAATCAGTAAGTTGAACATTACTAAAATTTAAAGATTTTTTCTTCTTCAAAAGATAAGAAAATTAAAAGCCAAGTCATAAACTGGGAGAACATTTGCAAAATATACATCCAATAAAGGACTTTTATCCAAAGCATATAAAGAATCCTTACACTCAGTAAGAAGACAAACAATCTCATTTAAAATGGGCAAGATACTCAGGAGGTTGAGGAGGAAGGATCACTTGAGGCCAGGAATTTGAAAGTGGCCTGGGCAACAACATAGTGAGATACTGTCTCTAAAAAAAATGCTTTTTAATTATCCAGGCATGGTTGTGCTTGCCTGTTTCCTAGCTACTTGAGAGAATGAGGCAGGAGGATCACTTGAACCAAGGAGTTCAAGGTTGCAGTGGGGTATGATCATGTCACTGCACTCCAGTCTGGGCCAAAGAGTGAGACTCTGTCTTAAAAAAGAAAAAAAGAAGAAGAAAAAAAAAAAAAAAGACATGGATAGACACTCACATGCAAAAAAATGAAAAGGATGCAAAAAATAAAAAGGCATATAACATAGTGTTCAATATCATTTGTCATCAGAGAAATACAAATTAAACCTCACCAATACTACTGCATATCCACTTGTGGCAGGCAGTCTCTGAGTGGCCTTCGTGGGCCACTCATGTAATCCCTCCCTTGGGCCCAGCAACTCACTCCTCATGAACAAAATATGCCAGGAATGATGGGCTGCCATTTCTGAGATCAGGTTACAGAAAGACTGTGGCTGCATCTGGCTCACCCTCTCACTCCAAGTGAAGCCAACTGCCAAGCTGTGCGTGGCCTGCGGAGAAGCCCACGTGGCAGGGAACTTCAGAAGGCGGCCTCTGGCAAACAGCAGGCCAGGCATTGAGTCCTGCCCATAGCCACATAAGAAGCCTGGAAGCAGATACTCTCCCAGTCACGCTGAGATGACAGTAGCCCCTGCCACCACCTTCATGAAGCCTCAGAAGAGATGCTTACCAGAGGACCTGGCTAAGTCATGCCCAGATTCCTGGATTCCTGACTCATAGAAACTATGAGAAAAAAGTATTGGTTGTATTCAGCCACTAAGTTTTGGGCTGATATATTACATGGCAAGAGATAACTGGTACACCATTTGAATGGTTAAATTTAAAGACAGACAGTGCTAAGTGCTGAGGGAGGTATGGAGTCACAGGAACAGGTTGGCAGCTCCTTACAAAGTTAGACATGCACTTTTCACACAACCAGCAATTCTACTTACAGGGATATAACTAAGAGGAATGAAGACTCACATCCAAGGCCGGGTGCGGTGACTCATGCCTATAATCCCAGCACTTTGGGAGACCAAGGTGAGAGGATTGCCTGAGCCCACAGTTCAAGACTAGCCTGGGGAAGTTGGCGAGACTTCATCTCTATAATAAATCAAAAAATTGGCTGGGTGTGGTGGCAGATGCCTGTAGTTCCAGTTACTTGGAAAGCTGAGGCAGACGAATCACCTGAGCCTAGTAGGCCGAGGCTGTGGTGGCCATGAACATGCCACTGCACTCCAGCCTGGGCAACAAAGTGAGACTCCAACTCAAAAAAAAAAAAAAAAAAAACTCACTTCCAGACAAAGACTCAGAGACACATGCTCACAGCAGCTTCATTACAAAGAAAAGAACTGGGAGGC